CTCATTTTTCTTTGAAAGAGCATAATCTTCAAATTTCCATGCATGCCATCATTCTTCACACAGCCCAGCCAAATGCCATTTGAAGCCACGCTTCCCATTATTGTCATGCCTATGCAGTCAATGATAAGTTGCTTTATCCGGCCAACGTAATAGCACCCACACAAAATTTGGAATTTATATACTGTTCCACTAACGTTTAACAAGCAGCTCAGACAACTTAATTACACAACTGTTTGGTTGCTAGGCACCAGCCTTTTTTCTTTGTAGTGGATAAATATAGCTTCCCTAAGAATGGAGACACGCTACTGGCTAATCTAGCTTAGATTATGCCACACAGAATGAATTTTTGAACAAGTGTCGCATTTTGCTTTGGAGCTTGTTTGCTACCTAGACTGTACTCCTTCAATCTAGCAGTTCACAGTTTCTCACGATACCTTCAGTCATAGGTGCCGATGCATACACTGCAGCGTTCATTAACATGAAATCAAGTGAAAAACACTTCAGTATCAGGGGAACAGAAATAGGCAGTTTTAATAACCACCACTTTGCTAAATGTAAAGGAATCTGAAATATTGTCTTATTTTCTTGCACTCTGCATTTACAATGCACATGGTTGCTGATAAGTTGAACAATTTGTTCGGCAAACTTACTCAAGTAATTGCTCATTGGCAAAGCATTGAGGCACTTTTGGAAAATGCTTACACTAAATACTTGACCATGGAACACGTGCCAACAATAAAGTTACATTCAGGCTTGAATGTAAAAAAAAACCCGAATCGATTGCCTTCTCTCGAGCTACTCATTTATAACAACCAAAACTTACAAATCATTAGCATGACAATTTCAGTGAAGTGTGATCAAACATCGTCCTGATCACGACAATGCATAAGTGTGGCCAAGGACAGAATTTCGTTGTAGACTGTAAGGAATGTGGTCACACATCCTAATTTGAGAAATGCACATTGGTGGGAAAGAATTGAACAGAAGAACAAAGGAAAGCAACTGAAGCACCATTGATGGCACAGTGTGGCCCCAGATGCTTCAGCATTGCTTTTGTTACTCTGAGAATGAAGCAAAAATTTTAAACCTAGAAGAACAAATGTCCCAGCATGTCTGGCGTTCATATCAAATGTGCTTTTTTGAATATTTAATTTTCTACTTCATTGCCTTGCTGGGTGTTTCGAAAAGAATCATACAACAGCACCTGTCTTGAACGAGAAACACCTAGTGTCATTCATGCCAAAACTACAATATAGTTGTGAGGTACACCATAGTAGACAGGATCTGTAAATTCTGACCACCCTGGGTTCCTTAACATGATATTAAATCTAAGTATACCATTTCGCCTCTAGTGAAACCTAATCGCTGCCGCCAGTGTTCCGCTCACAACCTTCAGATGAGCAGACGAGCACCACAACTAATGTACCACCGTGGCAGCACATCTATTTCGAGCGATAAAGCAGTTGAAAATACAGTTGTCTCCCCCTTCTTTGCTCTGACGTTCAATCTCTTTCCTGTTAGTCTTCAAATGTTCACTGTAACAACGTCTATGCAAATCGCTCAAACCTGTGACTCATTGATAGAATAACGTTCCTGTTTTCACTGTAGAAGATGCAGATCACAACCACACAAAATGAAGGCATGCGCTTTCTCAAACAACACAATAAGTGAGATTACCAGTGTGATGGGTTTCGCAATGTACTGTGTGTGCAAGTAAAAATAGTCAGACAACAAACACAAGTCTTGGTACAGCTCTTAATATTTGGTTTCATATTCTAACTGTTTAATAGATTCACAGAAACTTACCCTTTCTGTTCATTAAATGAAGTCTGCTTATTTGGAGAATGAATGTGATAGTAAACAACGATGACTCTGCCAAGAGGTAAACATCACAATTCAATAACGAAAGAAACATGAATACTATATAAATAAAAATGAATAAAAGCTATAGAGTGTGGTTATTGATGCAAACGTAGGGTTAAATACATTTTGCGCACGCAGAAAACAGTCTCGAGATGCCCTTAGCAATCATCCATGCCTGCCCACAATTGTTGGCACAGACACAGCTAGCAATAGCACTGCACCACTTGGGAAACAAAAACAGCGCAAAATATGGAGCATGAGAAAAAATTTGGACACAAAATAACAGCGCTGTCGCACCAACACACCCAAGCACCCACTTTAGGTGCACCACTTGGAGTATTTGCTAAGCAAATAATTCACACTACGAAAAAGCTGTATACCAGTCCATTCATTCCACAGCTTCGTTTGGTCAAAGAATGAGTGTGAATGAAGAAGAGAAAATGAAAATCTAGACAATGTTCATTATAAATATTACATGTCTGAGTGAGTTCTAGAAAACATTGTACACTGTATATTTTCAATAGCCGTGTTTGTAATGAAAAGAATATTACATTAATAACAAAGTGCAAGAAAAACAACCACAGTAACTTATCTTTTGTGCATGCTAAGATACCAGCATATTCAATAATTTGTGCAAGCGTCTGTCTTAATGCAAGCAGGATGTGAACTGAAGCATAGGCTACAAGTGAGAGCATTTGAATTTAGCCTAAATTACCCCTTTAATTATATAGTATGCTCATATGTGCAAGTGCAGAAAAAATTGAAGGTAGCATTTGACTTCCCACATTCTATTTCACTGCACATATTTGTGCAGTGAAGTCTCCTGAAATTACCATCTTGGTAATGTAAGTCAGCATAGTTAGCAACATCACTGTCCAAGGCCATTAAAAACCAGTCACTAATTTTAAATTAGCACTTGTGCTTTCTTAAATCAGAAAGGCATCTTCAGTACAGAGATGTTTAAGAGTGTTTTAGTGTGGAACGCACAAATTCCGATCGGCAAGATGATAGCAGTAACGCTGGAAGCAGCATATTGCAGCGCTGAATGAAACCAAATGATGCCCAAGTTATACCTAAGCTATGGCCTTAGTTTCACAATGACGCAAAGAAGCCTTCTCAAACACAGCTATGATAAAAGTAACAAGACATAGCAATGTTGTGAGCGCATTATGGCTGCATACCACATCATGAGATTTTACAATCAGCCGACTTGTCACAAACCTATGAGGCATGATGTGAGATGGATGATAAAGAGTGCCAATCACCGAAACCACAAAACACAATGTGAACAATAATTACCATCAGTATTTGATAATGTGGCGCTTTCAATACGACTCTGTCAATACCTTCGACAAAGTCACAGCTACGTCTGTGCATGGAGCGACTGGCTTGCAATTTCTTAGTGCACTTAAAAAGGAATGCATAGCAAAAAAAGGAACTCTACCTCGACCTTCCAAAAATTGTGAATGAAACACATGAAATGCTTCAGCAGCTTTACAGCAGGAATGCATCGGCTAATGACTAGAGCACCTTGAGTTATACATTGCTTTGAAAATAGGAATACCATGATGAGGCTACTCGACAACCTGAAGAGGATTCCACAACAGCCAAAGTACACATCAGTTCATGGTTTGTCTGTCTAATATTCCTGCTTGCCTTTCCCAGAGACTGCTGAAGATACAGGAAGAAAGCTTTGAGAAATTGTGACAAAATCTTAGATGCACTCTATTACTGCAAAATCGATGCAATGTATATGAACGAGGTTCCCGACGCACAGGCCCTTGCTGGACTCAATTTCGTGACTGCAGCTCACTGGCTGAGATGAGTTTGAAACTTCAGCTCTATGGGCTGAATAGGTTTCCATGTGTGGTACGTCTACCAATACTAGTTTTCCAGATGTGTAACTTGCCAATGCAAGTTAGAATTACCAAAAGTTGAGAAAGTTGGTAGAATTTGATAGTACAGAGATACAGAAGTGGAAACAAAACATAATGAATGATTTGGGCCAGTTGGTTTACACTAAGCGTAATGATAACTGTAATGAAGCACGATGTCAGAGCATAGAAGGAACGCACAAGAACATGAACAAAAGGTGTTTGTGTTCTGTACTTTTTGTGCCTGGCTTTGTATGTCTATCCTCCAAGTTGCACAACTGAACGCAATACTTTTACCTCTCTAGATTTCCACAAAGAATGAGTACCGTACAAAAACACACAACACAGGGTACATTCACTGGAATATAGCTCGGTGCCTCTAAGGTAAATAACGTTTATTTCCTGCAGGCACATGCCCACAGAGAGCAAAATCAATGAACGGAAAGCATAAAAAGCATGCTCAAAAGAGCGGGCAAGTCTTTGAAAAATCGTTCTCACAGCAGGCGAACACAGACTAAGCAAGCACTCTAAACAGCTTTAGTCGCTCCAAATAACACCGTGTGACATAAAACAGTCTGTTGGATGAAAAGTACAAGGGAAATATTCAGTATTATCATATGACACCATACATTGTGCATAAAGCACAGCAATACACAATCAATATTTTGCAGAGCTGAAAATTTACAAATTGGGGTTCGATTGTGCAACTTGTCGAGCAGTGAAACACAACATGACAACCCATACAATGCAGGTTGTGCCAATAGCAGTTGCAATGCTTGCCAAAAAATATTCCATGAGAGGCAAAGAAACTGACTGGAGTACCCTGCTTTTCCGAGTGCTGAGAGGAATAGGGCAAGAATGCACAAAATGTGCAACATTTACGTGCAAATAAACATGTTCTGGAGCAGAGCTTTGGTACAGTTGGTCCTCTTTGTCTCAACTTCAAGCTAAAGTATTACAAATAGCATGGCAAAAACTGTGCAGTACAAAAAAGGAATAGTGAATTCCCTGATAGACATTACATGACGACTAGCTTATTTACTCGACACACATGCAAGTCAGGAGACCGAACCTAGCTGATGTATATTGTTGCGGTGCAACGCGAACAAAGCACAGGTATGCTTTGACACAGCGAAAGCAGCGTGTTCTCAACAGCTGAGCCGCAAGATTGTCTTCTTTGTTCTCGAGTCAAGCCAGAGGCCCGCTACCTGGCGCCCACTAAATCCCCCCATCATCGTTTTTGTCCACATGTAGACACGGGTCAATATTGCCTAGGTAATGTAACACTATGCCATAGGCACACTGCAAAAATAACAACAGGACTACATTACAACAAAAAAGGTGCACGCAAACTGGGTCAGGTGGTTTGCAAAATAAAAAAAAGCAGGCCATGGCAAAATTATTAGATATACACAAAACTTATCATGAACTGAATTCTGTATCTATAAAATGCAGACAGGAGACACGAAAAAAAATAAAGATAAGAGCTCAGGGCCAGGCTAGTGAAACTATTCAATATTCATCCTTTTTCTCATAACACTTTGTCACCGGTCTAGGATGCAATCTACAAGATTAATTGCTGATATCATGGTAAATGAATAAAGGGGCAAGAAAATATAGTAAAAGGCATCTTTACATAAAGCTGGCCCTGTTCCCAACCCAATTAAATACAAGAAAAGGAAACTGAAATGGGGCTATAAAAATGCCAAGTTTCAATACCACTGAAACAATTGTAATGCCATGACATTTGATTCTGTATCACAGTGACATCATTCTGATAACACTGACTGGGAAGCTATTGGGTCAAAGTCATTAACAAGGGCATGCACTCAGACAAGGCCTCAGCAGCTTCATCTGGAGAATATTTACATATCAAAGCCCACAACAGTGCTCTTGTATTTTTTATTACTAAACAATCATACACTCCACCCAGCACCCCTCTGCATGTCCATCAGAGAAATGTTTTCATATGTTAACAGGCTGAGAAAAGATGAATGCTCAGATGAGACAAATCGATATTGAGCCAAGATGAAAAATTGGGCTAGTTGGCGATCTGTGCTGTACCATCTCCTTTTCTCTAGTCTATGTCTGGGTGTTTTGTGCTGTAAGTCGCAATGTTAAGGCACTGGCTGTCAGCCCCTTGCATAGACATAGGCATGATGCAACATGGTTTTGCATCCCCCAAAAGAGATAAAATCCTGGTGAGACTCGTAGCCCTGACGGCAAAAGTCATGATACCGGGTACTGCACAATTTTGCAGGGTGTTCAAAATTTTCGGCAGCAGAAAAGGCTGGCTGTCAGAACATCACTATTTGGTTGATAGGCACTCAGCCCTCATATTTTGCCGTTAGTCCTCACAGAGGCAAGTGTAACTTTCTTGCAAAACACTAATGCAGCCTGCTCTAGAATTGACTGTTGCACCATGGCATCATGAAGAATGGACGCATGCCTAAATGTGCAAGCGTCCTTTTGAATCTAATAAGTAAAAAAGAAATGCTAGCACTGTTTCAACAATTCTTCATATTATACTAGCCAGCTTCCAAAGCCATGTTTGACTGTGAGTCACTCAGGATCTTGGCGAGTTGTAGAGCCAGCTGATTTTTCAGAATAAAATTGTTGAGAAGGACCACAATTAGGAGGAAGGAGTAGAGAAAGTAGGGACACTAAAGTTGTGTCACTCACAGTCAGCCTTGAGGCACATATCTAGAAGTAAACCTGTGCTCTAAATGGAGAATTTGGTGCTGGACCACCATCACATCTGCACAATAAGGAAGTGGGTGAGCAAGGTCAAGAGCACAGATCGGGATGAGTCTCACTAGGAATGGGCTCTCATCCATCATTGGCAACGTGGTGCTTACTTAGCCTGTAGGTGAACTGCGAATTCTGGCAAGTTGGGCAGAGAAGCCTTCCTGTCGTGATGTGCAACTACACCTTGCACACACCCTACAAGACACACACCCAATTCTCGGCGTCATGAAGCTAGCTGGAGTTGCACATACGTTCATTAGAAATTCACAGAAAATAGGTATTGGCAGTTCACAAATTATCTCTCAAATAATGTTAATCAGGGCTGTTTATCACATTGAACTTGCTTAAAATCCTTATGTGGAGGGCACATTATAACGATAAGATGTTATGTATAATGCTAGACATTAGGGATCCCAAAGTGCTTCGTCATAAAGGCATCTGGCTGTTATTATATCTGTGACCTGATATGCAAATGAAGTGCTTAAGAGAGTCACACAAGGGGTAGTTTAAAACTTTTTCAGATGCCACCTATGAAGAACTCCTTGTAAATGCATCAAATTGTCACAACATGACTTTGAGGCCCTGTATATTCTATTGCAACAACAATTTTATAAAAGATTGATTTATGCATTTTATAGCAGTTAATTGAAATTAAGCTTTCATTAAATATCTACTTATCCTGAAGACATTCATGTTTGGTTCTTGCATATATAGAATCAAATTTAAGACTTGAAAGTATAGAGCGAATTGGTTTCTGGTTTTGTCAATATTGAGAAAAAAAAAATTTATTTCGACGTGGCTCCAGGGAATCACCACGTCTAACGACTTGTCAACTATGGTAGTGCCTCCAGGAAAGTGATTATATGCAACAGTACCATCAAAACTAAAGTTAAATGAAGACAAGTTTACTAAGAAAGAGGTTCATTTCTTGTAAGCCTCATAGTATCTCGCACTTTCTTGCCCCTAGTTGACGCAACTAGCAAAAAGAAGTGATGTACACAATTGTATACAAAGCGTCTGAAAAGGTTACTTGGTAAAGGGCAGGAAAGTATACAGGTGTAACTTTTAACTTGTGAGGTATTGCCAGAATGGGCCATTTCCAGGTGCAAAAAGCTCCCCCAGTGGCGATTGCCCCAATCAAAGCTGGGGGCCAGTGGCCCCCAAACTTATTGGTCAAGTGCCGTTTGACAATGTGCCTGCCTTATCACCTTTCTTTTGGGAAAATATTTTTGCAAGTTTTTGATGCCAGAAGTCGCTTGGTCCACACCTGTCATTGAGTTTCTGCTAATGAAAATCGTGGCATGTGCCTTGTCGACGCCAGTTTGCATGCACTGACCACCTACCCAGAAAAAGCTTATTCTGAGTATGCAGCAAATAAGCACTTCACTTTTTGCACAAAAAACACAAAAAAGTATCAAGCACTATGGCTTCCAACATGAAGGACAAAACTATGTGTTGTTGGAAAGTCCACTACCAAATCTACACACACTGCAGCCATTGGTGTGCCTTAGCTACAAGCACTAAAGTAAGTTCAGATTTTACTACTTCATTAATGCACCCTCGGGTAACATCCCTACTTCTTTTAAATGAAAACCCCACTGATACATTTGGAAAAAAAAAGTGTAAGAAACATACTGTTCAGGAGAACGTAACATTGATATTCACTGAAACATAATGCAATTTCACCTTATAATGTTATCATGAAAATAGGCAGCAGAAAATCGGGTTGAATTAAAATGTATCAACTTGGTTTTCATTGAAATTATTATTTGTGGAGCATCTTTTGTATAAGCTCATGTGCAAGAAAAATTGCAATTTGGCCATTTGTAGCACAGACCTAGCACAAAATTGCTTCATGCAAAGAACATGTGACTACTATCACGCATGATCGCCAAGAAGTGATATGACTTTATTAAAAAAGTAAAAATAAAGTCCAGACAACCTTATCTTGCAAGAGCTTGCATCAGCATGCTTCATTGACTTGCACAAAAAAGAAGCTGCTTTTCTATAGCATGCTCTCACAAGATAAAATTGTCTGGACTGTTTTTTTATTTTTAAGTTTCCATCATGCACGGTAGTAGTCACATGTTGTTTTGCACTGTGCAATTTTTCACAAGCGACATGGATTTTTTGAATAAAAATCAGTTGAAAGTCAGCACATGTTAGCGTCAGCTCTTTTTTGCATTCATGTAAATTTCCACGCTGTTGAAATTTTCTTGACGATAAAAATGAGTGTTCTAAAATAGTCTAGCAAGTGGCCCCCCACCCCTACACCCTGTAAAAGAATTCCAGGCCTGTCAGCATGGTTTAGACATGCAGTGATTAGGTAAAAAATGTGCTTCCCCTCATATTTAGCTGGTCCTTCGAAAAGCACAACTAAAGCAAGGTTTTTCATGGTGGAAGTTCTGAAGTGGAAGCTTTCAACTAGGTAGCTAGCAATGCCTATCTGACGACTGATAAACAGTTTGCTCACCAGTCATAAAACTGTTGCTTTGTAACTGTTTTCAAACATAATAACAACAAAGGAAGTGTGTCTGGCAAGCAAAACTTTCCAACAGAGGTGCACGACGTGTGAAAATGAAGCCGTGGTGCTAAAAAGAGCTATACCAAGTGATTATTGTCTTGTGGGGTTCGTAAGGTGATAGCAGCACAAATTGTAAAAATAACAAATAACTCTAGGGCCCACTTAAGCATATAAATTACGAGTTTAGCTTGCCAAAGCTGTACATAATACATGTGATTACAATAATGACTGATCTCGCACTCATTCTTTCACATTGTCTACTATGCAATTAAATGTACCCACGGAGGCACCAAGCATGTAGATATTGAAGCCTTTGCTTCCATCAAAATGTGCTAGCCGCTGGCCAAAAACCGTCAACATGGAAATCTGCACTTCCGTGAAATGGTGACTTGCCTGCTGCCATCGGCACTGCACGTGAACCCAGTCTATAATACACATAACAATGTAAGAACGAATACTAACTCATGTGTACCCATAATGAGATAAACACAAATCATGCTACACTTAGGCTATTTTGCAAATCGGTAGTGCCGTTGCAATACTGGGCTGTAGTGTGGCTGCTTTGTGTCTTTAAAAGCTAAACAAACAGTGCTATTGCAGAAACACACACACAGAAATTATTGGGTTGGTGCGTTTCATGTTTCTTGACTATCAATTCACACTGTGATATGAAAAAGCAAGAAAACACTCATTTAATAACAGCTAAAATGGTAGTGCGTATGTGCATCATGTAAAACCGTGTATTCTGCACAGTGGTAACCTGGGAACTACACGTGAAGGCCCTTACCCCTGGTTAGCTCTGCGGCAGAAGCAGGCCAAACACGCTGCCTCCTGCGAGTTATGGTTTCATTGCAATGACGGAAAGTTCACGAGCAAACATGTGGACAGCATACCACTACATAATTCCCCAGAAAGAATTTCATAAATGTAAAACCTGCACGTTACAATGAATGAGCTCTGACCAGCGCACAGACACACGCACTCACCGTCAGCTGCTCATTGTTGTAAAAAAAAAAACCCACTAATGGGGACCTAAATGTGAAGCAAGAGACAAGCAAGCCAAATACTAAAATAAATAAAATGGTAAAAGGTAGAAGGCAAATCAGCTCACTTGATAGTTAGGCTACAGTCTCTTTCACAAATCAAGTGCCAACGCTGTCGAAGCTATGCGAGAATGTTTGAGTGCATGCATCTCCCTAGTGGCTTTTCTCGTTGTAAACGGTCCTGTAAACTGAGTAAGAGCCCGCACGTGATGTGTCGTGATGGGTTGATAACTGTGCACTGGGTTCCTTTACCGTATGAAGTACAAAGCATCTTCATTCATCTGTACACTCAATTTTAAAACTGGAAGATACCATGCTAAGGATGGTATATTCATTAGACTATTTCTTATTGCGAATACATCTATGACAAAAAGTCCGGCTAGCCTCCGCAGCGTTGCACTTGACGGATAAAACAGAGCATGAACAAACCTTGTACCCGCAATGTACTTAGAACGAGTAAAGAATGAAATGTCGCATGCACAAAACAAGTGCGAAGCTAACGATGGGGCAGCCGGGCACATCCAGAATGCTCTAGGAAATAGTGCCCGGTAAAGCATACATTATCCACTCCTGTCAACACGACAGCTGATGTTCAAGATGCAAGATGTCCTGGCTTCTACCATCACATGAGCATAGCGGGCACAAAATCCGCACTGTTCAGTCGCACAAAACACAAAACAGAAGGCACGTCGCCTTGCGGTCAGTGCCAGAAACTGGCCAGAGGTCTACCAGCCACAAGGAACATTGCTAAAACTGCTAGGCACCACGCAAAGGCACACTGCTTACGCGCATTCGAAGCACTCGAGCTCTGTGTGGCCTCTTCCGCGGTAGCCGACACTTTGCTTACCGCGCACCTGGCGTCTGCAACTTCGACGACGCCTCGCCTTTCGGGCGTCCAGTAGCCCGGCAGTGGATGTGCGCGGGTCGCGCATTGCTCCACCGTGAGCGCGTAGTAAACCAATGCGGCGACGTGCGAGCACATGGCGCTAGAACGGCACTTGGGCTGCCGCTGACCTCCGTTCACGTAAACGTCGAGATCGCCCAAACTGCCGGGGATGCCGTATCCGCAGCTATCGACGCTGCTAGTGTGGACGGCGTCGGTAAAGGCGGCTCTGCCGCGCCCACTGAGGTGCGAAAGGCCCAGCTTAGCGACGAAAAGCGGCGCCGTGGGATCAAGCAACGTGAGTCGGCCCAGCTTGTCGTAGTCGTCGAAGTAGTGCAGCTCGTCCGCGACGAATCCGACGACGTGGGCGCCCACACCGAATCCCACCAGGTGCACCCGCGCGAGCTCGTACTCGTGGTCGTTGACGAGCCCGAGGAGAGTGCGCGCCAGGGCACGCGCAACCAGGCGACCGTCGCCGGCGGCTCGCTGGTAACGAGCGCTGTCGGTCGGCGCCGCGTGAGACGGGCAGTAGTACACATCGGCGGCGCGGCTGGTAGACACACCGTCGTCGCAACCAACGTTCCACACGACTTCGAGAACGGCGTGCGACGGTCGTTGCCGGCGAAGCGCGGACACCAGCGCGTCCGCGCCGGCTGCGTACCTCGGCGGAAGGCCGTGGCACAGGACCGTGAGGTTAGCGTCGCCGAGCTGCTTACCGGGCGAGTCGCCGTCAAAGTCGACAGGTAGAACGAGCGGCGAGAGCTGGTTGCCTCCGGGAAGCCACCAACGAAATGTCGCGTTGACGTCGGGCGCTAAGCGAGGCACGAAGTAAGCCCACGGACCACTCACGTTAAATGTACCGTAAGGCTGGCGCGTCACTTTTGCTTGCCCGAGATCTTCCTCGTCGGTCGGTGTCGGTCTGAATACAGCCTCTCCGGGACATATTCGCATTCTCGCGGACACTGGACTGGAGAACGAGGCCATCGTTGCCATGGCGACGATGAGCGCATGAACCGCAAGCACCTTTCCGCTGTACTGCCACTCCATCGGTCGAGCCGTTTAGAGTAACAAGCGTTCGGCAAAGCGAGGCAGAAGTGGGCTTAGCACACTTCGCACGTCTGTAGTGAGTGGCTAGAAAACGGTGTCCTCACGGCGAAGTGGCGTCAGCTCGCAGGTTTTTCCATTCGGCAGGGCAAAAAGCACCAACACCGTTTCGGCTACGACTGAATGAAAAGCCGCAGACACACAACGGAAAACACGCGTCCGTCACCACGAGACACCCACAGACGACGCGAGGAAACGCGCCGGCACCACGTGCAACTAACGCCGGCACAAGCAAAACACACAAAAAAAGCAACGTCCGAACACGAAATAAATAGTGCGTCATTCAACTACAAAGCAGATTTGAAATGTACAGTTCATGACTGCCGCCAGGTGATAACTGCCGCCAGGTGACGCAAATGTTTTTAGTGGTGCTTGGTTAGTGAACGTTTTTCTTTTTTGTTTTTGTAAAGTGAACGCTGACGAACTAGTATTGCGTGAGAGTACGTCCATTACAATTATGGGTGAAAGTGTTGTCCGTTTAGGCTGTTGGCAACATGTCCACTGCGGAACAAAGATGCAGTGGCTAGAGGTGTGCGCCGACTGGTCGGCGCGCCGCCATGGAGAGTTTTCGCCGCGTCGTCGCTGCCGACGCGAACTGATCGGCGCGCCGCCGCCGCCGACGTTTTTCATCGGCGCCACCTTCCTCTGTGATCGGTGCAATCGGCGCGCCATTTATGCACCAGTACCGAATTTTCACAGATTTGTCTTTTTCTTTTTCATCTTGATTTATAGCTTCGTTTCACATTTATGTACCCAGTAAAAAACAGGCTTCTTGGTTATCTTCATCCAGCTTTAGAGACCGAGAGTACCACTATGAACAGCGGCACAAGTTCGACGGCCGCTGTATGAAATGACATATTGGACAAATTGACAAAAGATAAATGTAACAGTTACAGTAATGCATAAACGCTGCCATCTGAAACTTAAAATCAATTTTTGCTGGTTTTGCTATGTCGTAATTAGCAATGATTTTGGTCATACAACGTTGAAGGTACTGGCCCAGTGTGTTGATGCGTAGCACTATTCGAATATTCATATGAATGCAAAACGCCATCATAATCAGTGCAAGATGGCAGCCTATCATCGTGCCCGAAACAGGGCGTATACACAGAAGAAATGAAATGGTAGCAGTGCAGCACGAATGCAGCACGTTAGGTGAAGAACTATACAAATCCCCGAAGGATGAAATCGAAAGGGAGAAGGTTAACGGAGATTAGAAGCGTCGAGGCATAATACATGCTCGAACCTACTCAGGCTATATCATCACCTGTCCGTGGTGTTAAAGTTGATAATTTTCGAGGATGACCACTCATATGCAGCGTCTCAACATGCTGCAGAAAATATTTGATGCCTTTTAATTCAGGCATCAGATATCCGGGATGAAGATGCCAAGGCAGTAAGATGGCAAGAGAGAGAAAGGAATGCTGGGGGATTAACCAGATCTTGGCATCCGGTTTGCTGCCCAGCACTGGGGGTGGAGAAATAGGGGCCAGAAAGGGGTTGTAGAGAGACAGAAAAGAAAACGCATGTGCACTCAGGAGTAGGATGGCAAACTTAACAGAGGATTTATTGCATTCCGTACAGACAGGGCGAGAGATGTCTTGCGAATGAGCTGGGTGGCTCATTATAAAGTGTGCGTTTTGGCTAAATCAGGGAATGGGTCCAGAATGCGCTGTTGAATCACGGGGGACACACACCATTTCTGATGGGGCCGCTCACTCTCGCTCAAGTCAACGTCTTTGATTGGGGCGTGGACCCCACACTGCACATGTGGCACCAAGAAACCACTGTGGTCGTCACGTCGAACGTCTTATGGTGTCGGAATGCCACCTCACTTCCCGGCTAAGATGGACAAAACACGGCGGAGAGCAGGCTGGCAGCCCTTCGGTGACTTGTTTGACGAACAAAGAACGCCGCTCTCCCCTGTCGGCCCAGGCGCCGCGTGTAACAACGGTATAAAAGTGGTGAGCAGAGGCGTAATAAGCTTGTCTGAGGCCACCAGTTTTAAAAAGAACAAAATAAAATTAAAAAAAACTTGCAGCAAACAGTTTACAAAAGACTGCTGGATTCGTCAATAATGCGGAGACAGACACTTGAGCGACATGTCATATATGACGTAGTCAAGCAAACATGTTTTCATCACGTAACTTGAACGGACCTACTGGCACTGTGAAAGATGAATAATAATTCTTGTGGACAGTGGTGATGTACTTCTGTTGCGAAGGTAATGCTCAGAATTAACCAAATAAATCTTAACTTTATATTCAGGTCTTGATAAAAAAGTTAGTCAAGTTAGAAAGCTCCTCAGGTGGCTAAGTAATAAATTATTTCACCATACTTTATGTTGAAGTAATTCGCAAATAAATAATGCAACCTTTGTTTCATTGATATTCAATGACGTGACTGCAATCAACGGTGTGTCGTCGCTATAAAACTGGAACGTTATCTGCGGACACGAGCGGGCGAATGCAGCGGAGAAGGAATAAGTAACGTAATAAAAGTGATGTGATGTTGCACATATTCGCCTGTACAACTCCGGTGCCCTTTTGCTTGCTCGTGATGTATTCGAAGGAGCTAGCCAATAACTCTCGGGTAGAAGTCGAGCAGAGTAGCCGGGGCTGACAAGAGGAACGTTTATATACACTATTTACGCACTAAAGATAGCTATATGTTGATGGTAGCATCATGGAAGCGTGATGGGAGCTTCTCAGGGACGGTTCAGAGCGTCTCGGTGCTCACGCTTTATGCCCTGGTATTCCTAAAATTATCTGCAGGAGAACACAGTGGACAGTTTGTAATAATCTGCTAGGCAGCTTTTCTGTAAGGTTAGTTTTTCAACCAAGAACTCACGTTCACAGGCTGCTTTTCTCGCTCATTTCGTTTTTGCCATTCCTTTTTTGAGATCTTGTTGTGCTCGCGTGCCTTCGCTGGAATTTGGAGTGGTGACATTTTGTTGTACTCGCAGTGCTCAAAATGAGAAATAAAAGCAGTCTGTGAACGAGAGTTTTTGGTTGAAAAATAAATCATACAGGAAAGCCACCTTGCAGATCACTGTAAACTGACAGACAGCATGTAAATTCAGTTCAGGGCAGTCCGAACCAATTGTCGTCTTCATCTCCATCCGCCAAATGGGGGGGGGGGGGGTAGAGGTTATAAAAAGGTGCCTAATTTCTGCAGTCCAGCAGGGAGCAGCGAATAAGGATTAAAGAAAACGAGAGAGAGAGAAAGAGAGAAAAAGTCAAACACTGCCTTCTTTTCAACCAAGGAAAGAGAGAAGGTGCACGTTCAGTGTGTCACACGGCGAGAGAGAAACATAACGTAGGTCACAGTGCAATAATACGCACAACACATCACAGTGCAATAACATTGCATCGCATGCGCAGAATAGGGTCTGCAACGCTAGGCAGGCTAGGGCTTGTGAGAATGGAAGACTTGCAAGCACCACAGAGTGTGGGAAACATACCTGACGAGGCATCCCAAGCATTCGGCTAATTGTTCAGCGCGTTTCTTGGCACGTCAAACAAATCAAGCAGCCTCAATTTCAAACAGCTCTTCCTAGGCCGTCAGTCAGTCAGGAGTGTCCAAAGAGTTTTTGACGAGGGAGCCAACAGCCCTAAAGAATTCGAAGTATGACTTTCGTGTTGTCGCCGCTTTTGGCGCACCTCGAGAGCGTTGATCCGGAACAAATCAGGGTAGACTTAGCTGCAATCGTCCCCCGCGTCCAAGCGGCGCCCAGCCAGTGATGCCGATCTTAACATCTTCTACAGACACTCGCACATAAGCACGCACAGTTTCACTCTGAGAGGGAACTGGTAGTGGTCGCAATGGCGTACCTAACGTGCATCTACTCATGATCTACTATAAAAAGGCGTGCAGTATATGCGATAGCTTTTTTTTGAAAGTCTTGTAATTCTAGTATACTTTCATTATATTGGCACGTTCTATTTCACAAGTTTTTGTTATCGTTCCGAAACACCACACGATTCTCGGCGCAAACCACGCCTGCAGGTTTCGAGAAGGTTCCGGACTGTAGTAGATCATTTCGATAAGATCACGCCCACTGTGCGAACGGTACAGATTGTTCTGGAACCTACGCCACCGCCAGCGATAACGCTAGAACATTCGACGGCAAGGGTATAAATGCCGACGCGCTTCGCCGCTTGTCAGTTGTTGATCGAAGGCTGACGCTGCGTTCGCCGCTATCAGTCCGAGCCTGCTATCTGTGCAAGACTGCTGCAGTAATTAAACTTTCCCTTTACCGGGCACAGGTTCGCCCAAATAAACAGTTAAAGCCCAACACGAAGTTTTCTGTCTTTGGCCACGTCACGACCCCGTGACATCTGGTGGAGGTGCTGCTTCGTTCATGTACCGGACGCCCCCGTCAAGCCGTGAACCCAGCCCCCTTCGCGGGGAAGACACCGACGCCAACCAAGAGCAGCGAACGAGCCGCCGACAGCAAGGTCTCCCACCGGAGTACGGCCTGCTACAAGACAAGGCGTGGAAGACCAAGACCATGACCTCGACTGCGGCGACAATGACAACCGGAGCGTCCCAGCCCGCGATCGTCATTCATCAACCCAGGGAACCACCAACGTTCCATGGCTCATCGTTTGAAGACCCGGAAACCTGGCTAGAAACATACGACCGTGTGGCCGCCCTCAACCACTGGGACAACGAAGAAAAGCTCCGTCGTGTATACTTCTACCTGGAAGACACCGCAAGGACCTGGCTAGAGAATCGGGAGTCCACGCTCCGAACGTGGGATGTCTTCTGTGGCGCATTTCTTCAAACGTTCGCAAGCGTCGCTCGCAAAGAGAGGGCCGCTGCTCTACTCGAGACCCGGGTTCAGCTACCAAATGAAAAGGTTGGAATTTTCACAGAGGAGATGACCCGCCTATTCCGTCACGCTGACCCAGACTTGCCTGAGGAGAAGAAAGTCCGTTTCCTCATGCCTGGGGTCAAACAGGAGCTGTTCGCAGGACTAATGAGGAATCCACCGAACACCGTCCAAGAATTTGTATCCGAGGCGACCACCATCGAAAAAACGCTGGACATGCGCACCAGACAGTATAATCGTCGCGTGACTCTAGAATGCGCTACTGCTCAAGCCAGTGACTCCGACGACCTGCGTGAAACGATCCGAGCGATCGTGCGGGAAGAGCTGCGCAAACTGTTGCCTTCGGCGCAGCCTCAAGT